TTGATATAATGCTGACCTACCTCTGCTCCGAAAATCTAGAAAATAATAGCAAAAAAAAAAAACCAAACCCAAAGCAAGTATGAACACTAAATCCTTTCAGATCTTCCTGTAAACCACCCAGGAGATATTCCATGGCTTGATCTGTGGAGCTGGTAGCCAACCTGCATGCAGAAAATGCAGGAAACACCCCACCAAAAGCCACTTTATTTCAAGGCTCAGCTTGACCAGCAATGCTCTACTTCAATACGTCCTGCTGTCCACTCCATACCTGAAGGCCTTCCCTTCACCAACACTCCTTTCTCAGGAGAAATACACAATAAAGCAGAATTCATCATGACATTTAAGTTTTGGCAAATACTCTGCTATGCATCCAAGCAGGAAAACAGCTACAACAACCTCATCTGCTGTAGCTATGGTGCTGCCTCTCAATAAACACATTAGCTCTTACCTCTTCATTTGGTGGACCTCACTAGCAATGTAGGCGTGTGGTATCTTCAGCCACTCAACTGCATCCATACGTTGCCGGCTCAAAGGAAGCAGTGGCAGTTCTGCTTTACTGAGTTCGTTCAGCTCTCTGGTAGAGCACGGTCTTCCTGGCAGGAAAGTAAAAAGTGCTTCGTGTGAGGGATCTACTGTCACAAGCAAGGATGGCCCACCCAGTATGAAACACTTCCAAGGGATACCAATTGTTTAACATACCTGTCTCACACTGCTTGATAATGCCTGTCTCAGTAAACTTCTTTTGAATGTCTTTTAACAGAGGATCCTGTAAAGTTGGTATTGAAACCTGTGACAAAAGACAGTTATTTCATGCTTATGCACCAACACAAGCGCTTTGTCAAAAAGTCTCAAAGACCAAAGTCAAGGTACCGTTAGTTAGCAGGGAAGGAACATCAACTTCATTTTTTATGAATAAAAACACGATGTGCAGACCTGAGTGGCCTGAAAAAACGCTGAGCATCTCAGCTTCTAAGGCAGGCCATAACGCATTCAACAACTCTGCCACAAAGTCAGACCACAGACATGCGACCTGATGTCCTGGAGGCAGTCGATCTTGATGAACCCTGCATGGCACATTGCAATGAAGTATCATCTCAGTCCTCACAACTGCCAAGGGCCCACAGCATCCAGAAGGGATTTAGAGAATTGCACTTGATGGATTTGTGTCCGAATCCTCCCCAACTCTTCTACTAAGTACCCAAGTCTTTGGTGCATTTGAGTGAACTTCTGTAAAGATCATCTGCGCTGTCAGATTATTTCCTTCTACAGAGCAGACACTCGGCCTGTCGGGGAACTCCCCAACCCTTGTTAGACAGAGCACTTCCCACACTGCCACAATGAATTTGAGATGAGGAAGACAAACCTCCCCCCTCCCATTCCCTACTGCGCCTCCAAATCTGGGCTTAGTATGGATCCAAACCACGCTCCCGGTGAAAACAACGTTCAACCACTCTATGGCTTAAATGCAGTAGGAGCTGGGACCCCCTATTCATTCAGTTCATAAAACTAAAATGTGTTGCTCAACACCAGTCCCATAGCAGCACATCGGTAACACATTCTGCACCTCTCTAACCATTAACTTCCTGCTGGTCAAAGGGTGCCTCTAAACCTCACAGCATAAATAACCAAACCAAAACACCTTCCAGCAGTCTGTACACATCTTCAGGAAGAGCGGATCATACTCTGATGGGTCATAAGCTTCCAAAGCCACATAGTCCTATGGGAGAAAGAGGCAGCAGGTCAGGGCTCAGAAGCTATTAGTGATAAAACAAATATTAAGAGAGCAGCCAGCCGAGGTAATACACAGCCAGGCATGGTAAGAACACAGCACCATAGGTGGTGGAGGAAAGGATTTATGAATTTTCACACGCTGCACCTCAGAAGGAAGGTGACTGAAGTTTAACAGGAAAATTCCTCCATCCATTTTAATTTATCATAGCCATAAATACATAATAAATGATTTCATGAAGCATCCAGAAATAATTACAGGCTGAAACAATAATCACAGCTAGGGCAGTCAAGAAAACTGGAAATTTCATTCAAGGGAAGATGTTTTGACCGAGAAGGAAACAGATATTAGAAAGAAAAGTGACTGAGCCATAGCCCTAGGCAAGTTACCAGTCTGTGAGATGCGAGCTCCAAGTCTAGGTCATGAGCATGCTTGTCTATCTATATATAGGAGTAGGTAAGTACCTAATAGTCCAGACCGCAGCTCCACCTCATCAAGAACTCCGCCTGCAACAACCTTCATATTCTGCAGTTCAAGTTCCCTATGACCAGTTAGCTGGGGAACAGCACGTACCACCACTTGGCGTTCACCATTGATGCCAAGACCAAAGAACACCAGATCAAACAGGCTCTCAAGAAGCTGAACAGATACCGAGGTCAACACACTTATCAAATCTGATGCTGAGAAAGGTGCATTAAAACCATTTTTCTCCAAATTATAATGGACTGTTTACAGCCAATAAGCCAGAACATACCTAAACTGCATAAAGTAAGAGCTGTACAGATGACAAAACAAACCATGTAAGTAAAAAAATAAAAAAAGCAACAACCTGTCCTGGTTTGAGCAACACAGGACTAATTTCTCTTCTAACGCTTGGGAAAACTGTGCTTTTAGTAGACTCTAGTGTCTGAATTTGTGAGAATATTTACTTTATAGATAGCTATGGTATGAGGTTTTCAAGGTCTCAGTGTTTTTGAGTTAGCAACATGCAGGGATGAGGCAGAGCGAGACCCGGGCACTTGACCCAAGCTGGCCAACAGGATTATTTCATACCATGAATGTCACATTCAATATATATTAGAAAGTTTGCTGAGGAGTTCTCCCTCCCTTGATGGTTGTGATCCTGAGAACTTCTTGCCCCAGTGCCGGACCCCTGAGCCCTTCCCTTCCTCCCGAAGCTGTAGCGCTCGCAGTGTCCCATGTTTGCTGTGCCCTGCTGGGAGTGCACAGCTTCCTACTGATAGAATTGGCTGAGTATAATCTGTGTATATTTTATATTGATATCGGTATCAGTATTGGTTCTTTAGTATGATTAATGTTAATTATTTAGTCTTATTCTGTTAAATCTGTTTATATTTCAACCCCCGGGTTTCCTTCTTTTTCCTGATTCCCCTTCCTGTATGGGGAGGGGTCGTCAGGTAATAGAATAATTGTCTGAACCACAATAAATTGTTGTGGGTTCCTTAAACCATAACAAGAACCGAGGCCACAAGTGATGCCCTAAGAATAGTAAGAACAGGGCAAGCATATAAAATACTTCTCCCCACTACTCTCAGTCATTCTTCCAAAAACTTGCAAATGAAGTTTTTCAGCTTTCTTGTGCAGACGATTCTCCAGGGGTCCCAGGAAGAAAAGGAAACATTCAGGGGCCACGGCCCTCTAGGTCTCAGCCCTACACAGTTCTTTTTGGCAATCTGTGGATGTGATTTCAAGTTGAGAGTTGAAAAACCATACTTGAACGTGAACAGTTCAGGAGCGCTGCAAAACGAGTCCAAACCTAAAGAAGGGGGATCTGCAGCAGGTTTAAGAGATCGCTGTGTTGAAGATGCTGACGTGGGCGAGTGAGCCAGGCCCCGAGGGCCTGTGCTGTTCCCAGACACTCCTTAGGCACCTGGGCAGCTCCGGGGCTGGAGCTACTGCTGAGCATGAACACTGCGGCCTCTGCAGGGGCCTCTGCTCCCCAGGATCTGGCAATTCCCCAGAGAGCAAGCAGCAGCTGCACTCACCGGCTCCTGTTTCTGTCCCTGGAAAGCTTTAAGTCTTAACACGCCGCAATTTGCGGAGTTTTAGTGCCACCCCTTGGTTTATTATTACATATCACCCCATTACAGCACGTGCTGAGACCTCAGTCGATTGGGCTCGGTGCCGTGCAGCACACCCGTGTTTGATCCCTTCATGCAGTCCGCGTATTGTCCCTCACACACCCCTCGGCAGAAAGCAGAGCAACAGCCCGCTTTTAAGTAGTCGTAAGGGTCTCTAACTCTGCAGCATTTCAGCACGCAATGCCTACAATATTCTGGGCTACCAGAAGCTGAGTTGTGGCTAACACAGCAGCAACAGAGGCAAGGGAAACTTCCCCCTCCTTGCAGGCTGCAGTGTGGCACTTCTGCCGGTGCTAGAAGAAAAATAGAGCTGCTGCCATCTTCATGCTGTGATCAACCATCTCATCATGCAGCTGTAGTCCATGTCCCTGGGACTAGGGGTAAGGAGGAGGTGAAAATGAGGGTGAAAAGGAGGCAGATTTAAGGCAAAAAAACCAACATATGAGCAGATCATTGGAGCAATGGAGAGTCAAGGAAGGGAGGTAAAGGAGGAAGGCTCAGATAGCATGAAAAAGGAGGCAGAAAGTGAGCTGAACAACATATGAGCAGATCATTGGAACAATGGAGAGTCAATGAAAAAGGAGGCAGAAAGTGAGCTGACAGAAAGACCAAGATGGAGGAACGTGTAAGGATAGTGAAGAGAGGGGAGGGAGAGAGTGGAGGAAAGGGGGAGAAGGCAGCTTTGGAAAGCCAAGGACAGTGGAGAACTTGGAGGAACCATCAGAAGCAACAAGGAGAGGGAGATACAGCACTGGGGAGTCTGACAGAAGAAAGAGGGGCAAAACAGTGGGAGACTTGGGCATGGAGTAAAAGGATTGACTAGAGAGAGAAAGAGAGCGAGAGGAGAGACTGAAGGAAGAAGAACAGATGTGGAAAGGGGGAATGGACCAGTGACAGAGACACAGGAAAGTGAGGAAATCTAGGGAACAGGACAAGGGCAAACCTAATAGCAGGGAAGAGAACACGAGAAAATGGACAAAAAGAAGGGGGGGACACATGTGGAAATGCATGGCTAGAAGTCAGTATATTAACCAATCCACAGAAGTACCTTAAGTTCTATAAAATGTATCATATGTTGCCACAATTAATGCAAAGTATGTAAATTAATTGTCCTGTTACTCTGAAGGGCTTCAGCCTGCTTTTCAGATGTGCTGATGATAGAGCCAATACCACAGAGCAAGGAGAAAAGGTGGAGGCTGATCACTGCCGCTGTGCTTTCTCAGGGAGAAGGACACCCAGCCATTGCTTTTGGAGGACACCCAGCAAAGTCCTGACCTGACACAGAAGCTTGCAAGATGGACTGATGCAGACCCAGACACGTACAGTACATCCAACATATCCTAAATCCCAGGACTTCAGTTGTTTGTCATTACATGCAGTTCAAATGCATGGGTCTTTCACATCAGACCTTTGAAAAAGAGACCATTTGCTCTCATTAAAACACCACAGCTCCCATGACATTTTCATTTCTGAACGGGAAGCTTGTTTACAGTCTCATAACTCCACCGTGCAGTGGTTTCCACTGACAACAAAAGCCTGCTCTATGTAAAATACTGTTCTATTTGTGGCAGATCACCTAACTGCTCTTACTGCTTTATATACCCATTCCTGAGATGCAGAAAGTTGAGTCATGGGATCTGATACTCAACAGTGGTGTGAAATTCAGGGCAAAATCAAGAAAACCAGCAACTATTTCCTACAGTGACTGCAATTTTTACGTGTACTGTAACACATGGAACCACAGAATCAATGAGTCAGGTCTATTCAGCTGCAGCCAGACTTAAGAAAATTGTTGCTGTTTCCTTGTTCCCACCTTTTTTTCTCTTATAAAGCTTGATCGGTAGGATCCAAGGCCATGAAATTGTTTCACTCGTGCTCTGCCAATATACTGCAGTACTGCTCTAGCTGAACTCCTGAGACGTGAGAGTGCAGTCCACTCCCTGGTCACAGACTCAGCCTTTGGTTTCAGCTGACAGGTTTTCCCTCTAAATAGTCTGGCTCCCAGAGGAAAACCCACCACAATATGGTGTTTCACCATATTCAGACTACAGCACAAGCTCACTGCACCAAACAATGCTACTGTTCGTCTCTGATGGTGAATCTAAACAGCTGTAACAACATATGTCATCATTACAGAAGTCCTTGAGAAGAATAAGTAATAGGTAAGGCATATCTGAACTCCAAGCTACTCAACTGAACAAGAAATAACAGCTAAACCACTGATCTTGTCCACACCCTTCTCCTGTATGCAACCCTCTCCATGACAGAAATTTACTTCTCGTTGATACCTTCTTATTACAGTAGTTTAAATAGAGAGAGTGTTGTTCTTCTTTCCTTTTCCGTATTTCTTCGCTTGACTGGCTGTCCATTTTGTTCTGAATTTTCTGCAGCAGTGGCTCTGAAACATCCTCAAGCCATTTCTTGTACAGGATCTCCTTCTTTCTCAGATTTAAGAAATCATTGTGCCTCAAATACCTGTCCACCTCCTAAGTAAGAAACAGAAAATAAAAGCCATACAACCTATTGGCCAACCACATTAAAGAGTCCACGGGTGAAGCTACGCAGCTTGGCTGACCTGATCTGACTGGCCACTGCTGCAAGGGCCCTGTTTTCCAGCCCTTCTTTCTGCTCCTCCCTCTCCACTTCCCACCACTTGTTTCCAAGCTCTCCCTTGAATGAGCTCTGACATTCAGACTCTACTGCTTGAGCTGTAGTGCAAGACTGGCAGAAAATCATTCACTTTCTCCCATGAGGTTAGTGAGCTGAAATCACTTCAGAGCAGGGGTCTGATATAAACACCGGACTGTGCAAGACATGCAGCAGAAGGACTTTCCTTCCTGCAGCACTGGCATTCTGCTAGATCAGATCAGCCCTCATGCCCTTTATTCACAGGCGCACCATCACCATCTGATCACATCCACAGAACAAAAGTTAGGTGCAAACAGGCAGGTAAGTCAAAGACAGACAATTCCTAAGCTCATATTTAGGGTTACCACTTCAGTCCTACCCCCATGCACTCATAGGGATATCCCGAGGAGACTGAGGAGGCCAGAATTTAGTTTTCCAAGAATACCAACTCATGTGTTATCATAAATCACTGATGGACAGAAAAAACACTGACATGCAGGAAAGCACACAGCAAGTGAGAGAACAGCTATCGTTTCTTACCCTCACAAAATAATTTTCTCCATCCAAGATACGCTGAGCAGAAGCAATGATGTCTTGACTTTCATCAGGTGCTGCCTAACAAAACATCAAAAAAACACATGAAGTAAAAGCAGGACTAGATTAGGAGTTAGAATTACCTTTGTATTCAAAATAATTACTTGTGTTGTGATTATAGGCACATTATACCATAACCCAGATGGCAGCTTGCACAGGCAGGCAAATCCTTGCAAGACTTGCTCTGAATTGTCAGCTTAAATGTAGCAACAGAGGAGTGTTGGAAGAACTGGAAGGT